TCACTTTCTACTCTCAACCCTTTTGAGACATGCAGCATCGATCGAAAGTACCAGCGGGGTCATAGGTCTCTAGTAGAAAGTGCTTTGAATATTTAATTAATGTATTTCATATGCCGATAAGACATGATGGCAATCAAAACATGTCAAGTCAAGTGAAACGCTTGCAGCCCAAGCGAGACCAGACAGCTTACTCAACGGCAGACACTGGACAATCAAGTTCGCGATCRAGCGTCCAGTCAGTCCACCTGGTCGGCTGTACATACTGGTGGACAGTCACTTGGGCAATAGACAGCGGACACCAAGAGAATGGGAGGACGGTAGGCGGCCAGTTAGTCAGAGCGGTGAAGCAGTCAAATGCTTTTCCAGTTAATGGACAATGAACGAAGTTGTCAATTTAATAGGAGGCCGGCAAGCTAGTCGGTGAGGTGCTTGCCACGTGTACGTATGTACAGCTACGATATACATTTAGATGGCGTATCTAATAAAAACATTATTTATCTACATACATATATATACATATGTAAGTGTGTATAGTGTGATAAAAACGTAATTCAAAAAAAACCTAGAAAATAAATTAAAACAAACACACTGATTAATGAATGAACGAATTGTGGAAAGAAAGAAATAARGAAAAAAAGTGAAAAGAAATAAAGAAAGAAGTAGAGAAAGAAAGCGTATGGCGTTGCAAACTTTGAGTCGTCTGTCATAGAGATTTTTAGATTTTTCCCTCCCATTGAGGCGGCGCTGAAAGGAGGACAAGCAAAACAATACCAAGCGGGGCTTGCACACAAATGGACGCGCCGACGGACAGGCGKACAGACGTTCGCGCTATGGCGGGTAGTCAAATCAGCCGGGTGGGCACGACTGGCAGGGTTTGGCAGTTATCAGACGAGCGAAACCTGCCAACCGGCAATTAGCTGCAACGCATTGTAACATTACAAATCTTAACACTGCATTTCCATTTATTRTTGCTGCTGTTGTTGTTGTTCTTGKTGCATGTGGCAAGTGCAGTGACTGTTGCGGTGCAGCAGACAAGGCAARCGKCAGGCAACACTCAGCAAACTTGATGGAAAAAAGCAGCAAAGCAAACACCAGTGCTGCGTAGAGTGTGGCAGCAACAATAAMAACAAAMAACATCAACTGTGCCAATAGCGGCATTAACAAACAAACGATTGTTGCTGTTGTTGTTCATGTGGAAAAAGTGACGAGTTGGACAAAACCATTGACTGGTTTAATTGCAACTTTTCACTTTTCCGACTGCATACTCGGTACAATGGCTTGCAGCGGAAAGCAAAAATAATAGCAACAATAAAAACAGAAACAACAGGATAAAAACAATTACAAAAGTAACCGAATGAAAATAGAACAACGCACCAACATTGTAATCGCAGCCCACTAATAAACTGGCGATCATCTAAAAGTCAGTGAAGACGCTCATTTTCAAACAGAGATCTTTGTATAGACGTATAGGGTGAGGTAGAAATTCGTTTTCGTCAAAATGTGTGCCACTTCGTATTTTAATTATTTAGAGAAGGRCATGCAAGTAAATCGATTCAACATTAAATAAGAATGTTCTGCTCAGCTGATCATTAGCCGCTGCTTCATAAAATAAGACATGAGTCTATTTATAATAGGTTGTCAAAAAAGTCTTGCGGTATTTCTTGCGGTATTTTTATTGTATATTGTTC